AGAGTGGTGGCTTTAAAATCTTACACACTATACGGAGTCTTAATGTACTACTTATTTTTTAAAAGAACAAGGCATCCCGTAAAGTTGGAATTATTCTAGATAATTTTTTCTAAAACAATAAGAAGTGATATGTTAATACTACCTCCGTCCCACTCTTTTTGTCCAGTTTTGACTTTTGGAACTGTTCATCTAAGCACTTTGACTCATCAAATTCTCTCAATGTGTAAGTCTAAAAATAGTCATGTGTGATCTTGTTTGATTTGTCTTAACATATAGATTATTAATATATAATTTTTATAATTTTTTAATATACAAATTACAAGATAAAATGGATTAAAGAAGTGCATTGGATGGTGTGCAAAAATGAAAGTGGACAAAAAGAGTGGGACGGAGGGAGTACTTTGTATAGNGATATGTTAATACTACCTCCGTCCCACTCTTTTTGTCCAGTTTTGACTTTTGGAACTGTTCATCTAAGCACTTTGACTCATCAAATTCTCTCAATGTGTAAGTCTAAAAATAGTCATGTGTGATCTTGTTTGATTTGTCTTAACATATAGATTATTAATATATAATTTTTATAATTTTTTAATATACAAATTACAAGATAAAATGGATTAAAGAAGTGCATTGGATGGTGTGCAAAAATGAAAGTGGACAAAAAGAGTGGGACGGAGGGAGTACTTTGTATAGTGCGTAAAATATTAAAACCCATCACTCCATATATTTGTATTTTATTTCATACCAATTTCAAGTTTATTTATAATGATTACCTTATTTATTTTATTAATTTTGTATCGTTTTAGTTACTTTTCTAATTTTCGTTATTTTTTATATCTATTATTTTTATTTTTTTAAAGTAAGACTATCTTTTAAAAAGGAAAAAGAAATGATGGAGGTAGAAAGTAATTTTAAAAATTTAAATGAAAGTTCCAAAAAAATTAAAAAACGAAAATTTGTCAAAAATAATCCAACTTTCATTTTGTTGCGCAAAACAGGCCGTTTCCGTTAACCCGCCGTTAGCAACTTAACGGAGACCCAAAACTCACAAATTTCACTAAAGTTGGTATTATTATTCATCACATTGAAAGATGTGATTATTTTTTAAAGATCGGATAAAATTAGAATTATTTTAGATAATTTTTCCTTTTTTTTATAAAAGAAAATAACTTTCTACTGATTCGATTTTATGTAAACGAACAATGCACTTGTCTTGGAGGAGAATGCTCTGGAGAGAGGAGAGAGTTCGAAAGGGACATAAAGCAACTTTTCCATGCCAACAAATTTTTTAACCTCGGTCCCATGGAAAGCTACCATACAATCAATCTCAAAAGGATAATGCGTACCCCATTTTGTACCCCAATGTTTTGCCCTGACATTAAATGTAGGTGCAAAACTGGTAATATGCCAGTGTTGCACCTACATTAAATGTCAGGTTAAAACTTTAGGGTACAAATTGGGGTACAAATATGGGGTACATGTAGCATGGTCCATCTCAAATATATACTTCCCTCTCTTGAAATTAATACTCCCTCCGTCCCGTGAAACATTTCCCCTTTCTTTTTTTATCCGTCCCTTAAAATATTTCCTATTTCTTTTAAAATGACTCTTTTACCCCTCCACCCAAACCCTATTGATTTCGCCTGACATTCCAACCCAGCATTTGCACCGATTCCCACCCCTTCTTCGTCTCTCTCCAGATCTATATTCATTACTTTTCATTAAATGCAAATACTTTTCACACTTTCTCCTTATTCTTCTTTATTTAAGGGTTTGGGGGTATATTTGGAAAGTCAGTGGTAAAAATACCCTCTCTTAAATTTCAGTTTTGGTCAATATGTCCCGTGTTTCACGGGACGGAGGGAGTATTTCACTTTCATTTTGGTAGTTAATCAGCTCTCTTTTCTTATTTTTACAATATGTTTCATAAAATACATTAAATTTTCATATTAATTTATTACTAACATATTTATTTTGAAACATAATTTTGAAATATTTTATTTTTATAATACTTCATATATATATATATATATATGACGCGTAAAAGAGTCATGACTCGAATAATGGTAGTGAGACAGCGAAGTTAGTGCACAATATTCAATGGAGCTAGTAATTACCCATTCGTAGCGAAAATAAATTCTCATTAGTAATTCATATTTGCCGAACACAACATGCTACATAATTCTTATCAAATTTACTTCATTGTAAAAAAACTTGATGTGCTGATGTCATCAATTTTTTAAAGGATCTTTTGGACTTTTCCATGAAAGTAGTCAAGAACATTTTTTGTTCAAAAGAGTCTAACATTTTTAATTTGAGTTGTCGCTAAGGATTCACAACAACTAAAAATTACACAGAACCATTTTTATTCCAAAACCAATTAAATTTGGAGTTTCAAACAATTAAAGGAGGTGTGGGGTACGTTCAGATCAGCCCTTTTGAGTCCATACACTAAGAGCATCTCCAACCTTATCAATATGGCTTGTTAAAACTTATATAATAGCAAGTGAGTCTATTTTTTCCATCTCTAAGGGATGTGGTATATTATAGCACACTAGTCAAAAAGTAAAATTGACTTGCTAAACATAGCAAGCCACCCAAATAATAGCAAGCCAAAAAAATTAATAAAAAATTAAATCAAGGGTCCAAAAAATAATCTCTTCATGAGAAGAGAGAGAAGCATTAGAAAAATGTATTCTTGGTTAAAATTTAGCAAGCATGGTTGGAGAATGGAGGAAAAAACTACTTGCTATATTATTATTTACTAGCTAAAATTTAACAATAACAATTTAATATAGCAAACATGGTTGGAGATGCTCTAAGTGTCTCGATTGTGCCATTGTCATGGAAAACATCATTCTCTTTTGAACTTGACATGAGAGGATGCAAGCATCATTCTCACTTGGGACACTTGCACCATTTTTGAGTTTCGATGGTATATATATGGTACCACAACCTTTGTGACACATGAACAATTACCTATCATTTTATTTATGTAAAAAGTACCCATCAGTGTACAATGTATGGAGGAATTGCCTATAGATGAAAGTGTTCTCCAAACATAGATGCAATATACTCATAACTTCCTCTTATAGTATTTGTTCAGGTTTAACTTTTTATGGTTAAAATTAGCAAATTTTGATCATAAATGAAGTAGAATAGACATTAGATATTGATGCAAAAAATAATTTATAATATTTTCTAAATATTATTTTATCTAATTAATATACCCTGTAATATATACTTGATTATAGGTCAAAAACCTTGGTTGACTGTAAAATTTTAAAACTGGACAAACACTTTAATGAAGTGAGTAATTTTTACTTCGTAATTTATTTGACACCGTATTCCCAGCCGGTTCAACCGGTTAGACCGCAACACTGAGACCAATCCGTCCAGTTCATTAGCCAAACCCGTTTTCATATTAACCCGGCTAAACCCGTCTGACTCGGCAAATCGGGTGACCCGGGTCAGCCCACCCGGGTTGTGGGTTTTAATCTAAAAATTATACTTATATTTAATTTAAAAGGAGAAATGGAGAGATGGGCACTTTAATGAAGTGAGTAATTTTTACTTCGTAATTTATTTGACACCGTATTCTCCATACATGAATTTTAATTTTTAAAATGCAACTTCCTACTGATTCTTTGTTTTATGGATTCTATTTTGTCCTATTGTGCTCTTCTTGTTTCTTACAGTGTTTAAAATTAGACCGGACCAGCCGGTTCAACCGGTTGGACCGCAACACAGAGACCAATCCGGTCCAGTTCATTAGCCAAACCTGTTTTCATAATACCCCGGCCAAACCCGTCTGACCCCGCAAACCGGGTGACCCGGGTCAGCCTACCCGGGTTGTGGGTTTAAATTTAAAAATTATACTTATATTTAATTTAAAAGGAGAAAGGGAGAGATGGGGGATTGGACCGGACCAGTCGGTTCAACCGGTTGGACCGCAACACAGAGACTAATCCGGTCCAGTTCATTAGCCAAACCCGTTTTCATATTAACCCGGCCAAACCCGTCTGACCCGGCGAACCGGGTGACCCTGGTCAGCCCACCCGGGTTGTGGGTTTGAATTTAAAAATTATACTTATATTTAATTTAAAAGGAGAAATTGAGAGATGGGGGATTGAACCTACAACCTTTAATTTTTAACATTGGCTCTTCCCACTTGAGCTACTACGCCAGCCTACTTGTATTTTTTAAAATTTTAGAGAGACATCTATTTATAATGTACTCCCAAATTAATTTTATGAACTTCTAAATTAATTCAAAGAAAAAAAAACATTACTTTTTCAAAAGAAAACTTAAATGTAAATATTGTATACCTAAAAAACTATTTTCATCTTCAAAAGTTTAGTACGGGGTAGTATTTACTAATTATAGTGGAGTAATTTTATATGCAACAATTTATTTCTTTCTCTTATTTTTTTTCTTTTCAATCAACGCATAAAAGTTTAAATATTATATACGAATTAAAATATTTTTATTAACTAAAAGTATCTAGTAATATAATATAAATTTTTATTTTTTATTTTAGTTGACCGAGTCATTGACCCGGGTTTGACCGGTTCAACCGATAAACCCTTGACCAGCTACATCGTCTGAGTCGATGTCCGGTCCGGTTTTCAGAACATTGGTTTCTTATTAAGAGGATATTCCCAACCAAGGACAAAGAACTTTAGAGTTAAGTCGAAGAAATTTTGTTTTTCCCTTTTAATATACTCTATAGAGGTTTACCAAGTAGAATTAAAAATTACACTTAATAAGTACTGTAAATAATACTCCCTTCATCATAAAACGTTTTTCCTGTTATGGTTTAAGATGTTTGTCTAAAGTTATTTTCAATTTATTTTATTTGATTATAGGTATATAATTTAAAAAAAATCATATATTTAAAAGCTACATAAAAAACTTTACAAAACAAAAGTTGACATGACTATATTATTTTATCAAATAACTAACAAAAATATATAAAGAATATAATTACAATATGACCAACTAAATAGTAACTAGAATTCTGGAAATTGAGGGTGTTTGGGAGTGATTAACTTGTGCATAAAGTGATTTCCACAAAAGCTGAAAGCAAAAGCACCATATACCTGCTTCTTCGAAACGGTATTCTATGTACAAATTAGTGGTGGTTAAAATCAGAAGCTGACATGCCAAACAGAGTAAAATCACTTCCACTCAAAGCAGAAGCTAAATTATTAAAAGCAGCGTACTGCCCTTTTAGTTTGATAGAGGGAAGTAGTCATCTTAGTGTTTACCTTTTTTAAGTTGGACTCTCCAACCAAAATGTGGCTAGTGAGCCATGGGAAGTATCCAAATTTGTATGGTAGTGTTTGTGTATCCGGTCCTTTGTGTACACCTACACCACTTTATATCCATCACGTATTTATTTTCTCTTTTTAACACGTAATCGTTACAAAATTTATAAAAAAAATATATCACAAGAAAAATTCATTTGTAAACTATAATATTTTTAGGACATGGGATCGGAGAGTGAAAAGAATATTGGTTGTGTGGTTGCTGAGCTATGCAGAATATCCAAAGAAGTAATTACCCATTCGCAAAAAATAAAGTCTTATCATTAATTCATATATTTTTCATTATTTCATATTTGGCGAACATGAACATGCTACATTTGTCAATAACTATCTTATTTACTTCGTATTCACCATTCTTGTTAAGCATACTGTTTTACCGATAAACAAGTAGGTCATCAATTTTTTTTCTTTCTACTCTTTTTCGATATCTTCGTATCCCAATACCTAACCCATCAAGTTTTTCTATGCGTGTAAACAGTTTATTACAAATGTTACATCTTATAGAGTGGTTTTAGCAACTTTACATCTTATTGTTTTTATTAAGAGCATAACTGTTGGAAATTTTTGATAAATTGGACATTTTTCGGACATAAATTCGGTAGGGTCCACAAAATTATTTTCCGAAATAATTATGGACGTTTAATCTAGTAAGTAAGACGAACATCTTGACATATCACACGCCATAAACGGTGCTCGGGTGAATGAGAAATTAATTCTCAAAGTTGAATATGAGGGAAGAGTAAAAACCATTGTCCCACACCGGTTTTTAAACCTTTCGTATTCTCATATTTAAGCTTAGGCATTGAATTGAGCTTATGAAAGGAACAAGAAGAGGACTCCTCGCGCGCTGCCGCCGCCGCCGTCCGTCCGGGCACGTCACGACACACGCGCGCGCGCTGGGTCGTGGCGTGGCGAGGCGAGGCGATTGTCCACGTTTGCCAGTGCGGGAGGCGGGGAATACTACCTTAAGGAAAGCTCCGGCGACTCCGCTTTCCTAACCTACGTTTCCAGAAACATCTCCGGCGACCCGCTGTTTCATCCGATGCAGTCACTGTTCGTGTTCCAGTTCTGTCAGTCCGTTCTTGTTCGAGATTCCGAAGACTCCATTTTTCTTTCTCTCTTTTCGTTGTAAAATACGAACGTTTTATAAGTTCGGATTAATTTATTTTTATATTTCCTGCTGTACTATTTAATAATCTTAAGGTAGTATTATGGATTTCAGATTCGGCATCACGGGTTTCTCCGGCAACGGAATGAGTTCCGAAGTTCCGGTCGAAACCACCTCGGTCGCCTTGGTGGTGCCTTCCTCGCCGTTGCCCTTCGGGTCAAGTGTGGGGGCCGCCACCATGACCTCCTACTCGATGCCGAGCTCGATCTTCGGGTCGGCCCCTCGACCCATTCCCGGGCTCGAAACCACGGGTGATTACCCCGTCGGTAATTCGAACCCGTTTCTCGGACCGACTATGGCTTCGGCCTCGACGATCAACTTTGGACCGAATGCGGGTTTCCCCGCACCGGTCAATCCATTCGTTGGACCTCATTGGGCGACCAACGGGCCTTTCCTCCATACGCCCAATGCGGTTGGGGCCATTTCAGTGCCCGCTAGCTCGGTCCAAAGGCCACCAAAGTTCAATGGCACGAATTTCAAGATGTGGCAACAAAAGATGACGTTCTTCCTGACCGTCCTGGGATTTGCTGAGTACCTGCAGCAAGATCCTCCCCAGCCCAACGAAGCTAACAACCCCCTCATGGCGATGGTGAACCAAGCATGGTACCACAATAATTATCTCGCCATCAACATTATCCTCGAGGGGTTGACCGAGACGCTTTACCCCGTCTATGCCGGTGCAAAGTTCGCTAAGGAGCTTTGGAGCAGCTTGAACAAGAAGTATCAAGCTAAAGATGCCGGCACGAAGAAGTTCATCGTTGGGAAGATGCTGGACTACAAGATGGTCGACAGCAAATCTGTTGTCACCCAGGCTGAAGTGCTTACGGTAATCTTCAATAAATGTAATGAAGAGTAGGTAGGCGTCAGCGAGGCTTTTCAAGTGGCAGCCATCATCCACAAACTTCCCCGGTCGTGGGAAGACTTCCAAGCCGACCTCAAGCTCAAAAGAACGGAGCTAAACCTGGAGCAACTGCTCACACGATTGAGAATCAGAGAGGAGGGGCGGAGGGGCAAAGGCGAATGTGGTAGAACATCCGTCGGGCTCTTCACATGGCGGGAAGGACAAGAAGAAAATAGGTCCTAAGGGTGGTGTTTCAAAATTTGCAGGGAAGTGCTATAATTGTGGCATTACCGGGCATCGTTCCTCTGATTGTAGGAAAAAGAAGCCACGAAAGGGAAAGAAGAAAACCACTGAAGCCATGTGTGCAGAGCTTGACAACTTGGACCTCTGCGCGGTTGTCACCGAGGTGAATCTTGTCGGGTCAAACCCGAGGGAGTGGTTTGTGGACACAGGAGCCACACGCCATATTTGCTCAAACAGGAGCATGTTTCACGACTTCCAAGAGACCTCCGGTGACAAGGTTTGGATGGGCAACTCGGCCCAATCAGAGGTTCAAGGGATTGGCAAAATTAAGCTCAAAATGACCTCAGGCAAAGAGTTAACGCTTAACGACATGCTCTATGTGCCAGATATTCGCAAGAATTTACTGTCAGGGTCATTGCTGATCAAACACGGCTTTCGAATGGTGTTTGAATCTGACAAGCTAATTTTGTCCAAGAAAGGGATTTTTATTGGGAAAGGTTATATTTCTGATGGGTTTGTCAAGCTTAATGTAATGACTGTTCATGAAAAGATCAATATAAATCCTGTTGCTTATGTGTGTGAGTCTTCTAGTTTATGGCATGGTAGACTAGGACACGTTAATTATGCATCTATTCGGAAATTAATTAACATGGAACACATTCCTAAGTTTAGTATTGACTTAACTCACAAGTGTGAAACTTGTGTTGAGGCAAAGTCAACTAGAGGTTCGTTTCAAACGATCGAACGAAATACTCAACCTCTAGAGTTGGTTCACACCAACTTGTGTGATTTTCGAACAACGCCTTCAAGAGGGGGTAATAAGTACTTTATTACCTTCGTCGATGATAGCACAAAATATTGCTATATCTATTTACTAAAAAGTAAAGATGAAGCGTTAGACACTTTTATTCGATATAAGAATGAAGTGGAAAATCAACTCAATCGCAAAATCAAAGCATTGAGAAGCGATAGAGGTGGTGAGTATGATGCTCCACTTAAAGAGTTTTGTGTAAAACATGGAATAGTGCATCAAGTAACCCCACCGTATACACTGCAGTCTAACGGAGTAGCGGAGCGGAAAAATCGCACTCTAAAAGACATGATGAATGCGATGCTACTTAGTTCTGGATTACCCCAGAACATGTGGGGGGAGGCTGTTTTATCAAGTAATTATTTACTAAATAAAATTCCTCGTAAGAAACTTGACAAAACTCCGTATGAGTTTTGGCATAATAGGAAACCTTCCTATAAGTATCTCAAAGTGTGGGGGTGTCTCGCGAAGGTACTTGCACCACCACCAATGAAAATGAAGATCGGTCCAAAAACAATTGATGGAATCTTCATTGGGTACAATAGTACGTCATACCGGTTCTTGGTGTACAAATCAGATAATCCTGAAATTCACAAGAACACAATCATAGAGTCACGGAATGCAACGTTTTTCGAGCACATTTTTCCGTGCAAGTCAAGTGACGAAGCTAGTTCGTCCAAATGCCCTCATACTGAGATGATGGATAACGATGATCCAAATCAGTTGAATTCTGGTGACGATGATGAAGTCGAACATGAGACTGAATTGAGACGAAGTAAAAGAATACGAACTGAAAAGACGTTCGGTTCTGACTTCATAACATATCTGATAGAATTTGACGAATGAACTTTGTCATTTCTAATGGAAAATGAACCCGATATTCTAACCTGCTTGGTAGAAAAGGAACCACGAACCTATCACGAGGCCGTAACCTCAACTGAGGGACCTCAGTGGCGAGAAGCCATAAAAAGTGAAGTTGATTATATTCTTCAGAATCACACGTGGGAATTGGTTGATCTCCCTCCAGGGTGTAAACCATTAGGTTCTAAATGGGTCTTTCGGAGGAAAATGAAGCCTGACGGCTCCATTGACAAGTACAAAGCTAGACTTGTGATCAAGGGGTATAGCCAACGCGAGGGCTATGACTACTTTGATACTTACGCGCCTGTGACTAGGATAGATTCTATCAGAATGATCATCGCATTTGCATCCTTACAAAACCTGGATGTTTACCAAATGGATGTAAAGACTGCTTTTCTAAATGGCGAACTAGATGAAGAAATCTATATGGAACAACCCGATGGGTTTAAGGTTCCGGGCCAAGAAAAGAAGGTCTGCAAACTTGTGAAATCATTATATGGTCTTAAACAAGTGCCAAAACAATGGCATGATAAGTTTGACGAGGTAATGATAAACAACAGTTTTAAGATAAATGAGTCAGATAAGTGCGTATACTTTAAGGACACATCTGAAGGGTATGTCATTTTATGTCTGTATGTAGACGACATACTCATCGTTGGAAGCAACGATAGCATGGTTAAGTCCACCAAGGACATTTGAACGCACGATTCGATATGAAAGATTTGGGTCTGGCTGATGTGATTCTTGGAATCAAAATACTAAGAAGACCGGATGGTCTGAGCTTGAGCCAATCCCACTACATTGACAATATCCTTGAGAAATTCAACAAGGATGATACAAAGATAGCTAAGACGCCGACAGACGTAAATGTTCACCTTGGTAAACACCGAGGGAGCAGCGATTCTCAGACAGAATACGCTAGAGTTTTCGGAAGTCTGATGTATCTGATGAGCTGCACACGGCCAGATTTAGCTTGCGCCATTAGCAAACTAAGTAGGTATACTAGCAATCCGAGTGCTGAGCACTGGAAGGCCATAGTCCGAGTGATGAGATACCTTCGGTATACTCGAGATTATAGCCTATGCTATGGCAGGTATCCACCCGTGCTGGAAGGGTACACTGATGCCAATTGGATTGCGGATAATAAGGATTCAAAATCCAGAAGCGGATTTATCTTTATGCTAGCCGGTGCAGCTGTATCCTGGAAATCCTCAACACAAACGTTATTTGCCACATCCACCATGGAGTCTGAATTTATTGCACTAGATAAGTGCGCAGAACATGCCGAGTGACTTTGGAATTTACTTGAGGATATTCCAAAGTGGGAAAAACCAGTTCCTCCTATTTGCATGTATTGTGACTGTCAGTCAGCAATAAGACGAGCTCGGAACAAATTGTATAATGGTAAGTCTAGGCACATTCGCCGTAGACACAAAACCATTAGGCAACTTCTCAATACGGGCATTATCTCGATTGACTATGTCAAGTCAAAGGATAATTTAGCGGATCCATTAACCAACCTATGCTGGGAACGTTTCATGAAGGAAAACCCAACCTGGGTGGTACCTGGGTTCAATGGGACAACCTACTTGTGGAACGAAGCACGGTCACTATGGGGGCAAGTCGGAAAACTGACTTAACACCCCTCCGTTCCTACCGAGATATAGTGACTTCCGAAAACGATGAGGTTAGCGCGATGCTTTAATGATTCTTGAACTATGGACAACGAGGTCCAAGTGGAGTAATCGGGATACTCTTAGAAGAATCACCTGTGTAAGAGTGAAGTGCGGTCGCTTCGACTGAAGGATTTCGGGCTAATCTTGTCTGACACTCTCGCAGAACTAGATGCGTGTTCCACGACCATAATGGGCACACCCATGAGAACGGAATGATGGTTGGTTGAAATTTGTGTATTGTATATCATCGTTTACATAAACGGTAGTACAGTTCAAAGACATTACGTTCTACTGAACAGCCAGTAAAGAAGGTATACTTTACAAGGAGTAGGTTCAAAGGCTTAAAACCTACCTACTCTTGCAGGTTTCAACTTCAGAGTTATTGCCAGTTGCATGAATTAATTTTCATTCATGTGGGGGATTGTTGGAAATTTTTGATAAATTGGACATTTTTCGGACATAAATTCGGTAGGGTCCACAAAATTATTTTCCGAAATAATAATGGACGTTTAATCTCGTAAGTAAGACAAACGTCTTGAATGAGAAATTAATTCTCAAAGTTGAATATGAGGGAAGAGTGAAACCCCTTGTCCCACACCGGTTTTTAAACCTTTCGTATTCTCATATTTAAGCTTAGGCATTGAATTGAGCTTATGAAAGGAACAAGAAGAGGACTCCTCGCGCGCCGCCGCTGTCCATCCAGCTCGGCACGTCACGTCACGACACGCGCGCGCGGGTCGGGTCGGGTCGGGGCGTGGCGAGGCGAGGCGAGGCGAGGCGCGTCGCACCCGCGTCTGCAGGGATAGACACACTTGAAATCCAGTATTCTCTGCGTCCAACTCTTTCTCCCTGTTTCCGATAATACTCCGGCAGTAACTTCCGTCGTTCTCGTTCGTCGGTGCATGGTTCTACCGCCCTAGGCCGAAGCGGTTTTATCCTGGGAGGAGATTGTCCACGTTTGCCAGTGCAGGAGGCGGGCAATACTACCTTAGGGAAAGCTCCGGCGACTCCGCTTTCCTAACCTACGTTTCTAGAAACATCTCCGGCGACCCGCTGTTTCATCTGACGCAGTCACTGTTTGTGTTCCAGTTCTGTCAGTCCGTGCTCTTCTAGTCCTTTGCCCGTTCGTGTTCCCGCTATCCGTTCTTGTTCAAGATTCCGAAGACTCCATTTTTCTTTCTCTCTTTTCGTTGTAAAATCCGAACGTTTTATAAGTTCAGATTAATTTATTTTTATATTTCCCGCTGTACTATTTAACAATAACAAATACTCTATCTGTCCCAATTTAATTTCTGGGCACTTTTTTGCAAATATTCCAAAAAAAATACTTTTTTAGTTTAAAAAAGAATAATATAGAGTGCATACATTCCATCTAGAAGATTCACAACTAGTAGAAGTATTATAGTAATGATAAATATTCACCTTTTAGAACTCGATGGTTGTTCTTCACATCCCTTCTCTCCGGCATCTTTTTCGGTTGCTTTTGATGGTCGCCCTCTCTTGCCCATGGTTAGAGAGAGAGAAAACCCTATAAAAGATGATTGTTTACATAAAATATAAAAAAACTTACAAAAAAATTCACAAAATAACACATATCCAAATAAATTGATAATATTTAAATATCAAGAAATTTTTTTTAAAAAATATCAAAAAAAAACAAATAAGATAAAAAAAATATGAAACAAAAAATGGTACTGTATGTCTTAATTTTTGTTTGTTTTTATTTAAATTTTCTCTTGTCTTATTTTTTTTCTTCATTAATTTGTTATTTATTCCCTCCGTCCCGCTATATTCGTCCACTTTTGACTTTTGGAACTGTTCATCTAAGCACTTTGACTTATCAAATTCTCTCAATGTGTAAGCCTAAATATAGTTATGTATGATCTTGTTTGATTTGTCATAACATATAGATTATTAATATATAATTTCTATAATTTTTTAATATACAAATTACAAGATAAAATGGATTAAAGAAGTGCATTGGATAGTGTGTAAAAATGAAAGTGGACAAATACTCTGGGAGGAAGGAAGTATTTATTTAGGGCTTATTTCATTCACTTGTTTTATTTAATTGTTTCCAATAATGATTAATAAACGGACAACAAACGTTAACAAACAAAAAAATTAAATAAAACAAACAAAAAATTAAGACGTGGTTTTATTTTTTTGTTTAATTACATCGATTAAATATAAATTAACACAATTATTAACAGAAAAGTTAAATGATAAAGGAGAAAATAATGAAATAGATAAATAAATGAAAAAAAAAAGAAAAGAAAACAAAGAAAAAAGTAAGAGACGAGAAAAGGCGAAAAAGGAATAAATAATAATTAAAGATTTCAAAAAGGAACAAAAGAAAAAAAATGGCAAATGGAAAGGCCGGAGTGGAGAAAACTAAAACAGTGAAAAAGTTTTAAAAGGGAAAAAATAAAAAAAGAGGACGGAATGGAGAAAATAAAAAAAAGGAAAGAAATTATAAAAAGTGAAAATGAATAAAAAACAAATAAGGAGTTAAAAAGAGATCTTAAGAAAAAAAGAAGCAAAAGAAAAGAGGAAAAAAAATAGCGAATAAGAAAAAAGAAAAGAAAGAAAAAAACAAAAAATAAAAGAAAAGAAGGGAAAAAGAAAGGAGAGAAAGAAAGGGGAGTGAGTTGGAAAAGAAAAAAAATATAAATCATGGGAGTGTAAGGAGAAGATAAAGAAAAAATGGAGGTCAATGTGAAAAATAAATAAAAATTCAAATTTCGCAATTTGGCCCAAAGTGACATGTTGGTCACCTGGAAATGGGCAAGTGCACTTTAAGTGAAAAGATGGTAAAATCTCAGGTACTTTTGTGAAAGGTTTTGAAGTTCAGACACCAAATCGAAATTTTCGTAAAAGTTCAAGTACTACTATTTTTGAAATTTACCCGCTTTTTGTGACCTTTTATGAGAATCTGTAAGAAACAACTACTTCCTCCGTCTGAAAATAATCTTGTCATTTGATTTTTTTGTCAAAGATTTTAAAATTTGATTCCGATAAGTGAAAAAATATATTGTATTATGATATAACTTTAATATCAGTATATTCTTATTGAGACGTAGTTTTGAAATATCAATTTTTTAGAAAATATATCTATGTATAAATAAAGATACTCCGTATTAGAAGTCAAAATATAATTTTAGAGATTGTTAAAAGTCAAATGAAAAAAAATATTTCTCGAGTAAAAAGCATTGTACTCGTATAACTTTGGGAATATGAGGGTGTTGTTGAGCGGTATACAACTATATGTTTTCCAATAGCACGGAGTATTAAATATAAGAAAAGTTACACAAAAACCCAAGGGTTAACCATAGTTTTAAAAACCGGATCAGACCGGGAACCGGACACCAAACCGGTCTGGTCCGGGCAATCAGACCGTAACTCGTAGTGAACCGGCGGAAGCCGGTTAAAACCGGTGAAACCGGCCGGTTTAACCGCCGGTTTTTAATTTTTTTTGAAGATTTTTGAAAAACACGTCGCTAGGATTCGAACACCGGATACGTGGATGAAGGTGGCAGCTGGAATCCATCTCTACTACAAAGCTTGGTGGTAACTTTCTACTTTTCGTTGATACTATTCTTAAACTAAATTTTTCTCTCAAATAATATATATATATATATATATATATATATATATATATATATATATATATATATATATATATATATATATACGTATTTAGTTTTTTTTACAAAAATTCAAAACCCATTAATATAATTGATATTGAGTGTATATCACACAAATATTTTATATATATTTTTAAATTAATAGGTAAAATGTTTAAAAAAAATTCAAATCACTTTTTATTTATAAGCTTTTTTAAATAAGTAAATTTTATTTTTTATTTAATGACACAACTCAAATAAATTAAGTTAAATTATAAATTTAGTAAAACATCAATTCTTTATTTATAAATAGAGGAAATATTATTTTATTTACTCATATATTAGTTTTTTAATTCAATGCCACAACGTATCTATACATACATGATGCATGCACACACACAGATATATATATATATATATATATATATATATATATATATATATATATATATATATATATATATATATATATATATATATATATATTAAAAATGTTTGAACCACTGGTTCGACCAGTAAACCAGTGAACCAGTGCCTTGACCGGTTCGATCACCGGTTCGGTTCTGAAAACTATGGAGTTAACACATAAATAATTTTCCACGGGCATCATTTGTACTGACGCTGTAAAAATTCTTTACCTAAGTGAGGTGAAGCACAAGTTTGGTGGGCCGACTTAGGATTAACAGAAGAAAAAATTTGACATGTAATGGGACATGACCATTATTTTGGGACAAAGAGTATTATGAATTATTACTATTATTATGATTATGATGATTATTATTATTATTATTACTATTATTATTATTATTATTATTATTATTATTATTATTATTATTATTATTATTATTATTATTATTATTATTATTATTATTATAAGAGAGGTAATCTTACATCACTCCAATTGATGTTAGATTGTTACATTAATTTAATTGAAACACATACAATATTTACATCATAAAATTGATTCTTTTTACATCTCTAATGAACCTCCCCCCC